TTTTCGCCAAAATTTTCTGTGTTAATAGCGCAACATGTGTAGCAGTACAAAAGTAATACTCTCATACGTATCTGTCCAACACTGCAAGATTCGTTTGTGACCATCCCACCAATAGCTTTTCTTGTCTTAGTCCTTTTATATATTATTTTAACTTGTATTGAAGGTACAAATAACACGTGCAACAATAGTAATTTGTATGCTCATGAAGCAATATGTGTGTATTTATTCAAACGGATATATAAGTTTTGTGTACAAAAAAAATCGACTTGTTGTTTGTTTTTCTTCAATTTATACATGTATATTTTATTGTTTTAAATATAGAATCAAATAACAATTGGAAGAATTTTATTCACAATTCAATGATTTTTTTGAAGGAGAGTAAAGAGTATTGATAGAATTGTCTGAGTATAAAAACGAATTACATAAAATTTGCAAAACAATTTAAACATCTAATTAGTAAATCGTTTTTTTCTGAATGAAATATGTTAAAAACATGTTCTAACGTATAGTATTCATCAAATCTTAAAGTTTTAGATTTCTTTTAGTATCGAAGGAAAGTTTTGAAAAGTGAATTTGAACAAAATAAACTGAATTCTTCTTCAGTTCTTATACCTCTTGAATTCAAAGATGAAAATTTCTTCGAAATATTCAATATATTATACGTTGAATCTGAACAATATTCATGACTGTTGATTTAAACAAGTAGTAAAAACTACAAACTATCAATGTATTATTTCATGATTATTTAACTGAAAATCTTTTTGAAAGGTTTGAATATTTAATAAAGTAGAAAAAGCAAATAGTTAACAGTTTATTTCATCGTACGAGTTAGAATGTTCATGATAGTATCAATTGTACTATTTTCTTGTTAAGATATTATTGTATTTAATGGAGTTTTATTTAAAACATCTTATTCTACACCTGTCGACTGCTATAAAACTTGGTAATTGAAAAAAAAATTATCGATTGAACAGTTGTACTACATAAACGATAATTCAATGTTGTTATGATCGAATAAGTAGCAAAGTTAACCTCTGCGATATCTTCATTCATCATAACTTTATGTTCAAAAGCTTTCATTCTGTAGATTCAAACAAATCCTTTCAAAACGTAAACTAGCACATGATTGTCGCCCAGAAGGACTGTATAGTCCAGCGATTGGGTCTTATATAATAAGAGCAACATCTTCATCGATAACACTTGATTGTCGATTGAAAGCTTCTTCATCCCGTGTACAAAAAATGATATCAGTAAGTGAAGAATCATAATGTTCGAGATTCTCAACTTCTTTTTATTTTTAATTTTCTTTAGAAAATCCTTCATATTAAAATGAATAGGTTATATCGCTAATTTACGACATCTTTGGAGATTATCGATGCATATACCAAGTGGTATTGTATGTTAAACAAATCTAAGTTAATACATAAAAAACTTCTCTCTGTGAATATTATTGTCATTTTCTTGTTCGTTGAAAAGAAAAGCATCAAACAATATTAGAAAATATGACTGATAAAGAATCTCTTGAAACTTGTTTATCGAAAGAAAAACATTCATAATAAACATGGCAACGATGGAGATGCGTGTGTGAGTGAATATTCTTTTCATCCACTCGAATATAAATGGTCTGAAACAGCGTTCAATTACACTTTTTTGGTATTTTTCTCAGAATAGACTTTTTTTTTCTTTAACGTTTCCGTGCATCTCGAAATTCTTCACCATCCACAATGTTAGAGGGCTGAACTTGGTTTCAAAATCAAAGAAAGGAAGGTAATGGACATAATTAAAGCTTTCTATCCATTCATCTTCCTCCCAATTATCTACTAGCACAAATATGTACAACAATCTTTTAATTCGGATGCATCCATTATTGATAAAAATTGGTTAGAACAATAACGTATACGTGATGCTAATACACATCGTTTACCATGATCAACATTTCATGATTATTCAAATACAAAATAAGTACATTTCTTTATTTTTAAAATATTAAATATAATTACTTCTGTCTTTTTAGTCGTCAAGTCGAAATGAAGCAATCAATAAAACATGTTTCGCAAGCACTTTCAACTGCAAATACTTCTTCAATGAATCATTTTCAAACTTCTGTTCTTTTTATTGTTTTCGTCTAAAGAAAAAAACCTTTGTCTGTAAAATAGATCAAAAGTACGACATGGACTATCATCATTAGATAATACTTTATTTCAACAATGTGAATCATCAAATTCAAAAACAGTAAATGTAACAAGATTAGAAAAAAAATATTTAAAACTAAATATACAACTATTACTCCGTCGAATTAAATCAAAAACTATTGTTTTTTTGTTTATAGAAACAAATCTTTAGTTTCTTTTGTATAACAGGGATGTTATAACAACTAAGATTCCATTCAAAGTTCAGATAGTTACAATGTTTTCATTTATTTAATTCAAAATAACAAAAGTTATTATTGTAGATCTAATCAAGAGTACTTCTTCATTTTTTCTCTCTTGTAACGATATAATATAAAATAATTTGGGTTTGAATTAATTTCTTGTTTATTTAAATGAAAAAAAAAAATTATCATTTTAATATTATTTTAAAGAGGTGAGTGGATAATATCGGCGATTAAGCTCGACTTTAAGAGCACAGCTTCACAGACCAAGCGATTAAAAAATCAACGCTTAGTCTGCGAAACAGTGATCTCATGTCTCACATTTATTCTATCACACCCACGAGATATAGGCTAATCATATCAAATATTTATTTGATATAATTTGCAAAACACTATTCGGTGATTATATCTTCTGTATCGATTTAAATCAAAATTTGAACCGTTAACTTCGATAACACGTGGTCTAATCGTTGAATATATCTCTATTATTTTCTCATTGTATAAATAATAAAGACTAAACGAAGAAACATGAACATGAATAACTTAAAATAAAAATAGTTGAACTTAAATATCATATAATTTGTCTTAAACAAAAAATAACTGAAAAAATCTTGATCACACTCTTTCATGTTCCATTTCATGTCAAATAGGTATTGCTATTCAACATCGTCTAATCAACTCTCGAAAATGAATTATTAAGGAAATATGAAAATGAAGCTATCCCTAATCGGCAACAAAAGCAACAGTTTCAATCATTACGTCCATCGTTGTTGAAATTATAGCAATTATCAGTTGCTGATTGTTGCGAGACGTTTTCATCTACATTACATTTAGGTCTCTTGTTTGATATGAAATATGTACTCTAATATCTTTTTGATGAGTGTTTATGCTGCTTACAAAATAGAAGAAAATAATTATGACAATAACGGATGTTCCATTATGACTGACGATGAATTGTCAACGACATTATTCGTACTTTTTCTTGACGTAGAAATCTGAAATTTTTATCACGTATCTATTCTACTAAGCTCTTTAGTTTTCCAAAGTTTCAGCTATCTGGGTAAAATTAGAGCTGAAATGCATGGACAAGATTAATTTATGCAGCATACACATATTTAATATTAATTATAGCAACCAAAAAGTCGATAGAAACACAATTATTAAGAAAATGTTTCTAAAGTTCAAAAGAACAACAATCTTGTAAATTGCTAGTGAATTGTTGTTTTTAGAGGGAACTCGATCTCTCCTTCAAGTACATCCATGCATTTAACTCGATGCCAAAATGAAAAAGAACAAAGTAAAACACCATACGCAAGTATGCATAAAAAAATGAGTGCATTTCATGATGATTTTTTTTAATGAAATTAACAATCTTAAATTTGCTTTACAACAAACAATAAGTCTGAAGCGAGAATATGGAAAAACAATACAAATATTATGTGCTTGGTGTGCTGAGTATTTCTTATCCTATAACGGATACTTAGATCGTGACGAAACAGAGATTACTTTTTAATAAATTGACAAAATTGAAAATTTTTCATGGTTAGATTATTCGAGCGCGTAAACCACAATGAGTTGAGAAGAAACTAACGATATATATTTTTCATTATGGGTGAAGGTGAGTAAAGGCTATTCTTGTCACCCAGATCGACATTCTCTTGTGATTCATTGCTGAAATTTATGAAATAGACTAAATAAGAAGAGATATACTTGTAAGATGAAACAATAACTTTATTAAGAATAATGAGATATGTAATTAATTTCAGCGAGGAGAGTATATAAAGGGTGTCCAAGAATAAATGGACCTCTTAGTATTTTATTACTGTTTCCATCAATGTCTATTACTTCGACTTGAATAATTTACCAAATGATTCCTTATTCAAATCTCTACCATCGCTTGAAAAAAACTTTTCACTATAAAAATAACCTAACAGTGAAATATTCTGAGCTGAAGACTGTAAGACATACACATTGGCATGCAATTAAGTTTTCTTTTATACAAACATTTGGAAAATTTCCAATAAAAAGAATAAGCATCACTTTATAAAACTTCTGTCTATATTCTATGCTAACTCTTTTCGTTCAGATAGCGTTGTTGTTGTGAGAACAAATGATTTGTTTGTCAAGTCTACATAATGATCTGGTATGGAATTCAAGTTACGTGAAAAATGTATGAGATAAGAATAGAACTTCTACCGGTTTCACGCCGTTCTTTAAGACAATTCGCTCGACATGTATACATTACTATGGTTTTCTAACAACTTTATTCAAAGACAAGAAATAAAGTAAATACCTTTACAAAATCTGTCACTTCAGTACTAAATGTTTGACTATTAGTTTTGTATACATGTTTATAGAGAATTCAAGGAAGAATATTTTGATAAGAAAACTTCTATCGAAGTAATCGATGTTGACAGAGATATTTATAAAATATTAAGAGACCAATTTATTATTGAACAACTAATTTATATATAAAATATAGATCATTGCTTATTTTTTGATTTTTTAATTTATAAGATCACAAAAACTTGGTAGTAGAAAAATACACAATAAGAATATTTAGACTTTTTTTTCGTATAAAAAACTGATTATTTGACATCCATATTTATTATCTATGTACATAGATATTTTATAAATATGTTTCAAGTTTTGGTGATGGTCTCTTTGGATGTTCTTTTGTATTTGTCGTTGATGTATTAGGTTTCCTATTTAACTTCAATATTTCTTCGTTTGCTTGTTTGTTTTCAAGTGCATTTGGAGAATCTTCATCAACGAAAATCATATTTACTTTATCACTTATTTCAATTTGTTCATCAGTAACCTTGGATAAATCTGTTAATTTTGTTGGTCGTGTTGTTGTTGTTGAACGTCTTTGTTTTACTGATGGTAATAATGAACTATCGGTTAATAATTCTGATTTAGATAGTCGACGTTGATGATAATTATCCGATGATAATATTGGTGATGAACTTTGATTTTTTTGTATTGTTGTCGATGATGATGATAATTGATCATGTAAATTATGAAGATGATTTTCTTTATTTCGTCGAAATTTTTCTTTATGTGGACTATCATTTATTGATATTGCATCATTATTTTCAATAACATGACCAGCTAATAAAGCTTGTTCAGAACGAGCTTGTTGTTTACGTCTAGCTACTTCACTCATCATACCTTCTGCTAAACTATTTAAAGTTTCTAAACGTAATAAATTAAGATCAACATCTTGAAATTTTTGTTGACGATATACATCCGATTGACGATGAACATATAATGCAACAATATCACATATAAATGTTGCTAAACCAAGTATACCTATTAATGAACCAATATTTAAACTTAATGTTATGACATCAAAACGACCAGCATCACCACTAACCTATGATAAAAGAACAATTTCTATTACTATATTTATTAGTATATTTGAAAAAAAGAGTCTTTTTGAATGAGTGTACTATCACAGTGGTTAACCGATGTAAAATTATTAGAAGAGCTGAAATTCTCAAATATTTTAAGATTGTTGATTTGATTGAATTCGAAAAATAAAAATACGAACGTACATTAATTATAAATAAATGTATTTTTGATCCTCAAATGTTTCAACATGTCATATTTCTTTATCTTTTTTATGTTGAATGCTTCTAAATGGCATACAAGTTGAAGAAGAAGGGCGGAATGACAATGTCTTTGTTACTCGAGAAATAGAATTAACTTCAAGCATTTTCTCGCATAGTACCATGTTTGTATAATTATGTTCTACATGTCTCAATCTATTCGCATACCAAGGTTGGTCGATTCTGCAAACCATTTCTCGTAATTCATGTTATCTGTGCTCTTTGTTTTATGTTGTTATATGCTTGTCCTTTGCTGTAATTGCTGTCTTTCTTCATCAAATTACTTGAAATAAACAGTATGTCCCATTACGCTCCGTCATGTATAGACAGTTAAATAAACCGCAAATAATCCAATGACATATATGTTCTCATTTACATATGGGAACATTCTTGCGGATTGATCAAAAATTCTATCCAACAATGCGTCTATCACAGTTGATTACGAACTAGACAGATATAAAAAGACTGCAAAAATTAATTAGAACAGTACTCATCACCAACAAGGCAATTTTTATTTTGTATTATCATCTCAAACCTAAATTGCACTAGCGAGTTACTCATAGACATTTGTCTTTTTTAGTAAAGGCTAATTATTAAACGACTGTTACATGTAGACAGAGATTTTGTTGGTTTGTATTTTACTAATACAATTGTCTATTTGGCCTTGTTAACCACAAAATCTATCCGTGTAACCATTCTATTAGTTTATGAATTCTATCCAAATGAATGAAGTACGATCGAAAATGGTAGAGTCTTGGACGCAGACATTCCGACAATTGGATCTGATCGGAGTCTAGTCGTCGGCCGATTCTCATAAGCGTTAGAATAATCGACTTAAATATTTACTTTTGTATTACGGTGTGTAAAACTACATATTTAGTTTGTACAGTAAAGAGAAATTGCAAGAAAGTATGTACAATTCTACATTAACAAAAACCGATACGAATTAAGATAGAAACCATGTTTTTCTCTGATGAAAAAAGCCTATAAATATTCTTAACTATAGACGAACTAAACTTACAGAAATAATAAAACGAAGACCAAATGCTTTAGTTAAAGTACGAAATGATTGATTATTATGTTTCCAATGTGAAGCAAAACTAAATAAAAACAATATAAAATAAATTAATCTTTTTTTATTTTTTTTTCTAACCGAAAATTAAATCCTGGTGAAAAAGATTCTTCTTTATATGGCCCATCTAAACGTTTAAATGAATATTCTGGCACACAATAATCTACTGATTTATCTAAATTACACTTCCATTCAATTTTAACACGTATAACACCACCAGACGTTAACATATGTTGCTGTTCATCTGAATCAGGTTCAACAATATTAAGTAAAGTTCCGACACGAAATATTGGACATATTTTATGCATTATCGGATCATAATTACATTTTTTAAGATAAGATGTATTTTGTTGAATATTTTTTCTAATAACTTTAAAACGTGGAAATTCAATAAAATTTTTAACAAATATAGTAAAATTTAATGCATCACGTATAGGTTTTGGAATATTAAGATCATTTTCCACCGGACACCAACCTTCTAATTCACATCGACCTATTGTTGGTTGAGAATTATTTTTTTCAGATTTTTTATTTATTAGACAGCGACCTAAATGATTGAAAATATAAACAAACAATTAATGTCTATTTCTTTTTTTTTTTGAATTACCCGTCCATTTGCCATTTGCCTGAAATAAAAATATTGATTAATTAAAATTTTATCGATTATAAATATCATACATAGAGTATCGTGACACAAACGTTTTCGTGCCACGAATTCCTTTGATCGAAAAGCGGCTAGCAGTACAAAGTACAATAACTAACTTATTGTATTTCACTCACTTAATTGCTATTCTTCTTCTTCTCGACACATCAATTTCGACTTCACTCAGCTACTCGTTCTCCACACCTAACCATCATTTCGAAACTAGGATGGTATTCGACTTTCAATGGATTGGAAAATGTGGTGCGAGGCTAAGAATATCGATTATTGAAAAAAAAATCGATATCTCATAATTAACGGGTAACGGTTTCTACAATTAATTACACAACGTTTTAATCGAACGAGATATTAACAGTTCACAGCAGCAATTTTCTTTTCTCGAAGTCCTGTAAAATTGATCTTTTTGAAGTGCTACTTATAACTAAAGAGAACATATTCTTCTAGATTGCAAAAAAAAATAGTATCAATTCGATCTTGATACTTTCATATCACATTGAAACGAAAAGTCTGAGAGTTTCTGTTTTCAAGATCATCACAACACAAAGTAACAATTTTTGATGCGTATTTCGAGAAAGAAAGAAGAAATCCGTTTTTTTGAAAAACTTGATTTCATTCGGGAAGGCTATAAAAATGCAGAAAACAATAATTAACAGCTGAAATTTTCCTTATAATATCACACATGACTAAATCTAGAAAAAAAAACATTGATATTTCAGATGCTTTATGTAATAGTATTTTTCTGTGACAATAATCAGTTCAAATTCATTATGATTTCCTCTACGGAAGTCTAAGATTAAGAAATAGCTGATGTCATATAGGATCGCGCCATGACATTTTTTCCGGCTCATGCAGTCTCCTACTTTGCTCAAATGGTCGTCTAGTTCCTTCTTCTGTTACTTATTTAAATATTAAAATATTTGTTAGAAATTAAAAAAATTAAACTGTACGATTGTAAAACTATTGAATGCTCTCAAAATCATTTTTTAATAGCCAGCTAAGACAAAATTCCTATTCATCATAATTCATCAAGTAATCGTTTATTCTATTTTGTAAAAATATATTATTTTTGACTTAAATATAATCAAGAATAGTATACAAAGTCATTGTTGTTAAATGTTTTATTTTATATTGAAGAATCTATGTATTCCGAGTATGGAAGACATGCTATTTCGCTAATTGTAGTACGTGATGGAAAAGAGGAAATAAAGATTTACAGATCTAATATTCATTTCTTTCTACATATATCGCAAAAGATTTTATTTTATTTATCAATTTATAAGCGGAAAGTTATATACTCGGTAGATTTTTTCATATACAATAAAAGTAGTTCTATCATGTTTTCTATATATTAATTTTACAGAAATCGCTTTGAAAAGTTTTAAATTTGTCAGATAGTTACTCTATCAGACTAGAAATACTAAAAAACTGATATACTTCAATTTCACTCAAAATAGATGATAGATCACAATTAAAAATCATGTTTTTTATCATGTTAAACGAGAATTTGCATTATTTTACTATGTTTTAAATAAAAAACAAATCAAAGTTCGTTAAAATATTTTTCAAATGTGTCCTCCTGTTGAAAAAGAAAAAATGCAAAATACAATATTCAGCTTTCTTTTGCGTGTTGTATAGGATCAGTTTTGAGCGCCACTGTGTGTGCGTGTGTGAAATCTGTTCATTATATAAAAGGTGTTTGCACAATCTATGTAGGATTAACATGCGAAAGGCGAAATAGCTGCTGTTGTTACTGATAGAGAGATTATTTTATTCCATCTATCTTGGGACACATTTCTTCATCATTCTTCTCCAGAAATGCAATAAGTAAATAGTTCATATATTATAATGAGACATTAATGATATGTGGTGTAAGTAGCGAGGGGATGGGGAAGGGTGCAAGTTTCTTTTTTGTATCCTTCAACACGCCTTTTAGATCGTGTATCATCAAATTCATACTTTTTGAAAATCTTTATTTGCTTGACATTCAGTATCATCTGCACAAGCTGCTTTTTTTACATCAGTTGATTCTAAAATAATAATAAAAATGAATAATTATAGAAGTAAAATTATATGTATAAACATACCTTCACATCGTTTATGTTCTTGATCAGTTCGAATAAAATTTGTCATTAAAAATAATGCATTATTTTCTTGTGGTGGAACAATATAGTCTTCGAAAAAAAAATGAATTTTATTTTACTTTTAATACTAAATTTCATTTACCTGCACCATCAATAACTAATGTTTGATTTGGACCTGTTTGATTATAACCAATACCCTATGAACAAGAAAAGTAAAACAAGTCGTTTTCTTTTTTTTCTAATTCAATATGTTATATTTACTTTAACTTTCAATGTAATTGATGAAATAATGGATGTATCCGTTTCTTGATAACCTTTCTTATGTATCATTAAATATGCAACACCATAAATTAAAATTAAAAGTTGAATTAAACGGCACATAAGTGCAACTAAAATAAAATAAGAGAGTTTTCTTTTTTGCTTAAAAAAAAATGTATATATATAACATTAATCATATAATGGTTGATCTCCATTGAGATTTAAAACAGTAAATCATTTGAGATAAATTTCTGATAAATAATCCTTTCCCTTGATAAAACTTCTAGAATATTAATTGTTTTTTTTTTTAATTTTCTTACTTGAAATGGAACGAATAGTAACGATTTTGGGTGTTTCATATTCATATACAAAGCTACGAAATATTGATTTCATATTAGCTGCTGAAAAATATTCTCGTAGTGATAAACATTGTACGGTAACAACTGGTGATTCACCAGACATTGTTTTGTTCAAATAATATATGTGGATAGTAAAAAAAACGAAGATTTGAAAGACGATGGTCTAGAATCAAAGAGAAACAAAACAAATATTTATAATTATTTTCAAGTAAATATGACAAATACAGCTTCAAGCAACATCCATGATTGACCTTCTATTTCTGATATATACATTTTGTTTCCTATATTAATGCACTAAAACTAGTCTAATAAGAAAAACAATAATAGGCTGATAATCTCCTTAAGCAAATAGAGACATTTATCTTTTATCATGTATTTCAACCAATATTCGCTCTATATGCTTAAAAATATCGATCAATGATTGGTTTTTATTATTATTATTATCAGTGTAAAAACTAATTGTTTTTTTAAAGACTTTGATGTACACACAAAGACATTTCGTTTGTCTTCAATACAACTTGTCTCTAGTATTATATTATATGAACACAATCATACATAGATATATACTACAGTTGCATATCAACAGATTAGTTTATCAATATGTTATGCAATACAATAGACAAATGAATAAATATCGATTCATCAATGAACAAAAAAACTTCTATTTAAGTCTCAATTAAAATAACTTTTTGTACTTATTAACATTTCGTAGATATAATTTTAAGAATGATAATAGACTATTTCTGCGTTAAAAACTGATGATTATTATATACACAAACACATATGCTTCTTATAATTTCTATCTGAGTTACTAGTTGATGCAGAATTGTCAGATGCATTACCTCGCGTTATTCTAATCGGCGTAATACAGCAATCGAATAGGCATATGAATAGTTGTCCTTGATGTCGGATCGTCTTCTATAATTTGTATTTAGATCTGAAATAGAAGAACGTATGATCAAAATGCTTTTACATACGCATGCGCACGGCTCTATCAGCTTAGCTTGTTCCGTCACAAACAAGCATTAATGGATTGCTTTTAATTCCCTATTATAGTTGCGCTAACATTTTCCAAATATGATTAAAGCATGTGTACTTTTAATACACCCGCATAAAAAACAAAAAGGTTCCTTTGTGGCACCACGTACAGTTAAACACATATTTTCTACATTTTTCTTACTTTCCGATAGACAGTAAGGAAAGAAAGAAAAAAAAAAGAATTAATGCGACAGATGCAAGAAATGATTTTGTGGATTGATGAAATTTGTAGTTTCCTCTTCATTCTATCACAATTAAATTTTCTTTGTATTAGTGAATTTTATATGGATAGCATACATGATTTGTTTTTTACATTTAGTCGTATATCATAACCATTGTGTTTCTATCAGTAAAGAAAAACAAGATGTTTTCCAATATTTAATTCGTTTTTGATCGCTAATCGATCACAATGTCATTCTGCTATTGACTAAATCATGTTAATTACTAATATGAAATAAGATAAAACCAAGATCTTATCGCACAAGTTAATAAATTTGCACTATTGTCTTGATTGAGATTAGCGATAAAGTACATCGACCAGATGGTCGTATGGAAATGTTAATCGATCACGTAAAAACTATATTCTGCTTATTCTAAATTAACCTTGTCTTTAACTATGACAAAAAAGCCTTCGAAAGCTATAATTCTGTTGTTAAGTAGTATTATTTCGAACCAGAAAACATGAATCAAACACACGTGCAATAAACATAAGAGATGTCCTATCATGCAGATATAGCATTTTTCTCGTGTCTGAACATGCTATGTGCTTTTTTTCTTTGCCATTCACTCAATCAAATTCACCTAGTCTTTTAATAAAGCTTACCGATTATCGACCATTGCCAGAAAAATTAAATAACAGAAACAGAAACACTTCATCTATAGGATGCGATCTTTTAAAAGAAAAAAGACAATAAAGATGACAAACATCATGTTGACACCACTAGAATCTAATAGAAATAATTCTTCATCATAACAGCTAGAAATATTTCGATCGTTATTTCCAAGAATACATAATCGACATTTGTCAAATATTGACAAGCAAATTTTTTTGTTAGAATAAAGTGTTTGTCTATTACTCTCGATCTCTATCGTTCGTTCTTGTTGTACATTCCAAATCTTTTCAGATAGTATATAGAGATAAAATCTCCATCTTACCGTAATCAATTGTTGCCCGTTATGAAGGCAAAGCAGTGAAGTCTAAAGTAAATATATATAGAAGAAAAGAATAGAGGCTGATTATAACAATAAAAGCAAAAAAAAATCAAGAAAGCAAATGCACTCGTAAAGTAAAGCAGTCATTGCAAGAATAATTAGTAGATCGATCGAACGTGTGGGTATTCCTATTGATTGTCGTTTAACTCTTGTTCTTTTCTTTTTTTTTTCCTCATTTCTGTGTGTGTCCCTTGTTTTTCCATCTTGTATTACTCTCATGCTCTAGAGAATGAGTACAAGAAGGAAAAAAGTGTTGATATTTCTTATATGACATATAAAATCAAAAAGAAATCAAACCATATCAATACTACTTGAGTTCATGATTATTCGCTAATATTCCTTCGAGATTATACAGAAGAAAAAAATTAATTAATTTTCGTAATGAGTCATATTTTGCGTTTTTTCGTTTTAGATAAATATATTTGATTGATATATAAAAAACATTTGTTAAGATTTTCTTTATAAATAGATGCCTTAAGAGAATAATTCATTTATGAAATAACAATGGCAAAACAAAGTAACTTTTTATCTTCAAGCAAATATAAATTTCTATTGCATAAAACTATTTCATGTTAATTGAATTCTTTTTACATAGAAAATAGATAACTATATGAACCTAGTATGACATTGACTTTTTATAAAAACAAATGTTATTGCATTTTGTTTTTTGATTGCTTTTCAAGAAGGTTTTGATAAGAAAGATATGAGTTAACCAGACAATCAGTCAAGTTGATTTTTTTTTCGCATATATGTATGTTATTGTTCGTCATATGGAATATGTCGAATATTCAATCATCCGTTTTTCTCTAAACAAGAGAACAGACAAGGACTAAAAGAACTACTATTATGATATATAATTTACATGATCTTGATTCAAAGGAGAACATTTTTATTTAAATTTTTTTATGTTTCAGGAAAAAAATTCTTGTTCAGTTATATAAACAAGATGTTGCAATAAATATCAAAAAATATTTACAACATGTTGTTATATCTTTCTGTGATTCATAAAAAAGTGTTTATAATAAATCAGGTGTTATAAATAATGAAGTGATGTAGTACATAAGAAATCTTATATTGTATAAATAACTATATGAAGCAAATATTTAAATATTCAACAAAAACATTATATATAGTTTCAACATAATCACTGGTATAAAAATCTAATATGTCTAGAAAAAAGAAAAACGGACGAGTCAAATATGAATATGATGATCAACATATTTGGTTAACTATTTTGTCAATGTGTGTCCTTGGTGATAGTATAGAAAAACAGCTGGATGCTATTATCAAAGAAAATTTATTTTGATGGTATTATAATGTTATCTCTATCAGAGAAAATTTCTATTTTTTGAACTAAGTAGAGAAATTGTTTATTTATCGAAAAAAGTAATATAAATTCTATAGTGATTGGCGACTTGTTTAAAAACTTTTCATTAATTTTGTTTATATTTAAAATCTGAAAGAAGAAAAAAAAAGTCTATTAATTTTTCTATTCATCCACAATGATTTATTATTCTGTCATACTGTCATATACAAAACGTCTATTAATACATTTCATGTTAATACCACAGATTTTTCTATCTCGACCGTTTCTATTAATATCTATTTCAGAATAACATCTCATATGTAAAAATACCCTAAAAGTTAATATGTTTTGAAGCATAATTATATAAACAAAGATTAGTTATAAAGATGTTTGTTCATTCTCTTCTAAGCATAACCTTTAACTGATGAATCGATTTATCATTGATAATTATTCGTTATTCGTGAGTAGATATCAACAAAATATGTATAGACATGAGAATAAAAAACATGGGTTTTTACTAATTAAATAGAATATAACATTTAATAATAATAGTAATGATAACAATGTTGATTGTTGTGCCACTATGACAGATTCAAATACTAAAATGAATTATATTTTCGAGAAGACAAGAGACACACTCGCATGAAAACTTGATTAATATGTCATGTAAACTATTACTATCCTTCCCCCTTTATGATAGAAGACCTTCGATTAATGATTTGATTAATTTAGAAATGGGAATTTGAATTGTAATATTTAATGAAAGATATGTCTAGTTTTCAGGATTCTCATTTGAAGATCGATAATGAATGAAGCTAAAATGATTTTTTCACCTTTACATTATTGAAAATGTAATAAATGTAATGTAACAAAGGAGTCGATATTTCAGAAATATCGAGATAAGTGTTAGATCAGTTCGAATTTAAAAAAATCAAATATCACCATTTGACTCAGCTGCTCATCCATGGGATCACAACAGGTCAGTTGGTTGAAATTGGGGATCTTTTATCTATTAGTTCTATTAAAAGTATAAATCTAAAGGAAAATAACTTTAGAAGACCGTTATCGAAAATCTTCACCAAGAACTCATCTCATTATAGTGAGTATTCTACATTGAATTGTATGTGAAACTGTTATTTTTGATAAATATAATATTGACTTTTCAATCAATATCTTTTATTTCAAAATATGTAAATATGTTTTTCAGTATTATTGATATCATGAAAACAAATGATGAATAACACAATCACAAATACAACCGAGACAAAAAAAAACAAAAAAAAATAATTTTAATATCTGATTAATATCAAAAACAAAATAGAAGTTAGGCTTCTTTTTTTTATTCGTCGTCATCATCATCGCCATCGGGTATAGCAGGTGGTGATAAAGATGTTGATGTTCGTGAAACACTTTCAGGACGAGAAGAAGATGGTGGAAGTGAGCCATTCTTATATAAAAGTTGACGTTTTTCTGTATATTCAGCTTCATATTGAGCTGTTTTAGCTTTTTCTTCAATAAGAATTTGCTCATAATATGATGTTATTTCA